AGAAAGTTAAATCAGAGGGCTCTGCTACAAATCTTATGGCAGTAACTCAGGGACACAGAGTTACACATGGATGACTACTGTCATATCTGTAAGATTTGTAGTTAGGCCTACTGAGAGTCCTGGAGACTAAGGAACTATATATTTTGACAAATTACCACTAACAATGAAGTCTGAGAGGCACATATTATTAGCATTCTTCCTTTAGGGATAGTAGGTGATGTGGATGCTTTCACAATTTCTTATTCCCTCACACCAACTTAATTGAGCACATTTCTGTGACATCCAGCTAAGTTGGAGTATCCCACCTCTATCCCAGGGCTGAATGATGATTAGTGACCCATTACAATGTCTCATGTTCTTCTTACTATGCACTTGAGAAAAAACCGGAAAGTAGAAAACATAAGACTGAGGAATTTAAAAATAATTTTCTTAAGATTTTATCTAAAGGCCTAGTATGGTTTTGGTTTAGCACGTTGACCTATTAAGTTAAGCATTCCATTTAGAACTCTGGTCTGTGGCATTAAAGAATGTTTTGTATTAATTAAATGCTTTGGGGAAGTATCACATTAGCATCTTTGTACATTAATTAAATGGATCTGGACCTTTTGAGCAACAAGCACAAAGGTTGGTTTTGAGCTTAAAAATTTGAGATAGATCCTAATGCATTCTTTAATAGGAATTTTAATTAAAGTTTCAAGCTGGAAGTGCTTGTTAGAATGGAGATTCTGAATGATTTTAGTTTGAGAATTAGTGTTTTAGTACTATGAAGAGTTTTAAGCAGAAAATTGATAAGAGGTAGTACGAAAAATCAGAAGTTAGAAAGTGTTTTTTATTTGGTTATTGTACTCTCACTAGTCTGCCCCTTTGGTAGATTTTCATGATTGACCAGAAACAAGCTATATTGCTATGCAATTGTTTCCTTTCATAGATGTTTTTCTCAGTAATAAAGCATTTCTGCTTCACTTATGCTTTCCTGCATAAAGCACTTGAGTGAACAATTACTGGGAACTGCTGATCACCCTAAGGAAGTTCAAAGCCATACATGCATATAACATACATTAAAGTTATATATATGTTTAACTTTTATATGTGTTTATATATATAAATGTTTAAGTTTTCAGGGCTTGTTGCATCAGTGTTACAGGAAACCATAAATAATTGCAAGATAGGATCACCAATAATGGGCTTCTGGAGAGTGGCCAAGGCAGTAACCCTGAAAATCTCTAGTTTCAAGCTCTTCTTGGGAACTTAAATGCAATGACCAGCAGTGTGACATTCAGGCAGCTGGTAGGTGACAAGCATTAGTAAGTGAACCACAAATGGGAAGGTTACAGAAAATGCCTTGGAAGAATGTAATAACCTCCAGTTGAACTTCAATTTTCTCTTTCAAAAATGTGGCATCGATATAAGGACATTGTGGGGTGAAAGAGTGCAGAAAGCAAGCCAGCCTGCTAGCCCAAGGCTTTGGAATATAGGAATATAAGAAGTAGCTGAACACAATGAGAGGATCTGCAGAAGCTGTTGAGAAAAATTACAACAAGGAAAGTTCAGTTGCATGTTCATTAGGCATTTTAGGGAAACAAGAGAGGGCAATGAACTGGGGGCCAGGGTTTCTCCCCAGGTCTGTCCCTATAGAACCCCCTAAAAACCATGTAAAAAAGTTCTCCATTAAACAAAATAATGGAACTAAATGATTTCTAAGTTCCCTTTGGAGTGTAATGTTTTAAGCCATACTGTGGTTTTACAAAATGACTGTCTTTGGTATATCTGTGTCATCTTTAATTAAATAGTATGTGTGTCTGTTTGCCTTCATATGTCTACACAACAAACTATCAAGAGGATTAATGGAATTTAAATGAATTTAGAGCAGAATAAATTACTTTTTGACATTATTTTCCCATTTAACTCCTATATTAGTATTATAACCTTATTATATTTATTTTATTTTTGTAAGCAGTACCTTAATTACAAAGGATGCATAATATTTATTTTTATATAAATAATAAATAGGTAAAACTCAACAAAGTGTATGTAAACAAAAATATTATGTCCTCTTCCTGAAAATGAGGTCCAGAGAAAAGTAAATTTAAACAATATTGGGTTTGATGAGGATGATACTCATCCTAGGCCCCAGCCTGGAGGAAAAGAGGCAGGATTGAGGCTGGGAAGAGAAGGAAAGGGAAACATGATTCAGAACATTTATTTGGTTTGGCATAAATTTCCAAGGCATCAAAACATCCAATGTTAAAGGTTAGTAAAATGTACATGGCAAAGGAAGAAAGGAATGGTTTGCAGTCATAATTAACTTTGAATTATCTTGTTGTGCCTTAGATCAGAGCAAAAGAATCAAAGTTGGAAATACAGAATCAAAAAAAGAAATTTGTGTTTCAAGAACAGTACTATATAGAAAAGAAAGCTCTTTAATTTATGCCACTTATTCTCTCCCTCTGAAAAGTGTGAATCATTCCTTTAATAGAAAGGGCAGTTGAACTGAAGGCTCCTCTTTGCATCTAAGAAATGATGGCAACATGTTCCTAAGAACCAACCAATCAACAATAAGAGGCTTGGGGGATGGTTGGAAGGCAGTTTCTGAAATGGCTCTCCATTCGTTCTGTAGGCAGGACAGATGGATCTCCTAAAGCATTAAAGGAGGGCCTTGTGTGTGTGTGTGTGTGTGTGTGTGTGTGTGTGTGTGATTTTTACTTGGGATTGAACCCAGGAGTAATTTACCACTGAGCTGTATTTACAGTCCTTTTTTTAATTTTTTATACTTGAGACAGGGTATCAAAGTTGTCCAGGCTATGCCCCAACTAGTGATTGTTCTGCCTCAGCCTCCCTCCCTAGTAGACGGGATTATAGGTGTGTGCCACCATGCCTGGCTAGGACCTGGTATTCTGTTACAAGTTTCTTAAAACCTAAATTTCCCTTTATTGTTACATCAAACTATAATATGAAAGAGAAATTTCTTTGTTGACTCAGCTTTATTAATTTTAAAATCCAAATGCTCTTGCTAAAGGTAATATATTTAGACAGCATCGAGGGGCTGGGGTTGTGGCTAGTGCTTGCCTAGCACATATGAGGCCCTGGGTTTGATCCTTAGCATGGTATAAAGATAAATAAATAAAATAAAAGTATTGTATCCATCTACAACTACAAAAATATTTTTTTAAAAAGGCAGCATTGATCACTAATAAGTTTTCAGGAATTGATTATAAAAATACTTCTGAATTTAAGAATAAGTTAGGAAAAGGACAAGTAGAATTTGATCTGGAAAGGAGAATATGCTTGAGATTGGTTTCCCTGAAACCTTTTGATTATTGATTATTAAACCTTTTGATTATTGATATTGATTATTTCCCACATTCTTCTCATAGCACGTTGCGTGTGGCTATATCAAAATGTTAAATACATCATATGCTGTACCTTATACCAATATGTCTTCACTTCTGCATCTCCCACGTTAGAACTGACATTCTCAGGATGGAAGCAATGTCTTTGTGCTTCCTTCCACTCTCTAATTTCTATCCCAGTTACATACCATAATTGACTATTAAACCTAATAAAGCTTATTCTGTCTAATACTTTTATTCTACAACTATTTTTAAATAATCTAACTTATTTTAACAGACAAACATTTGGAGCAAAGTAAAATCACTCCTTTCTCAGTCAGTAATAAAACCCATAAATGAGTATGAGATTTATAGCCTAAATCTTCATAATATCTGACTTTGGTTTCTCATATCAAATATGTTTACCTAATTTGATACGATAAATGTGTAACAGTTTATAAGAGAACACACAACTGTGTCTAAAAGTTCATCTTTTTTTGAAATACTGACTTGCCAACCCCTCTCTTTATAATTAGAATTGTTACTGAGATGACGGGCAAATGCATGCCACTTTCAGCAGGAGAAAGCCCCATTTGGAGTTAATAACAATGCCTGACGAGTGGTAACTAAAGAATGAGGAGAATAGTTTAGAGCATGACTAGTCGCCATCAGTTATGTGAAAGAAAACTGAAATCAAATTGAGATTTTTAAAAATTTTTGACTAAATATCTAATATTACTTGGTGATTCTAATATAAAGGCATTGCAAAATATTTCCAAAGCAATTTCTCTGAGATGATAAAATTAACTAATGAATATTTTCATGCTTTTCCCCAAAAATGGTATTGTAAGAATTTTGAATATTAGGAAACAAAGTGAGAAAGGAATGGAGAATTACTTGCCCCATGTCAATGGATTAACTGGAACAAACACATAGTCTATGTATTTTCTACTGAAATTGTTTCAATTCTTGCTTTCCAATATGAAAGAAATTTCCAAAGGAAATATAATCTGCCAGCATTGATAAAACATGGCTCTGAGCAGTCTTCATTGATTTTTTTAAAAAAAATATAGCATCTTGGCATCTAATATGATAAGGAGTAGAAGCAACATGATAAACATTTTGATATCACAGCTGGCAGTTGGCATAGCATTTTTAAGTGATCATATGCATTCAATCATTTCATTGGGCATTTTATCAAGAGTATTTTATTCGCTGTGTGGAACTTTATATTAGACACTAGATTTCATAACTGATGGAACCTTATATGAAGTAACCAAAACTGGTATCTTTACTCTTGGAGCTTATAATTCAGAGGGAGAAATAAAATGATAAAGCAAAGCCACAAATAACCTGCTGTCATAATTTTGAAAAGAGCTAGAAACCAAGATACTAGGAGATAATGTGCTGGTTTTTCAGGCTTTGCCTAATAGCATTGAGGACTCCTATGTGAAGGAACTGGATCCTACTCAAATAGCAAAATCTGCCTTAGATGTAGGAAATGAACTTGTGAAAAAGTCCTACTTACTCAGTGTCTTAGATATAGTACACATGCAATTAATGTTTGTGACATGCAATCATTCAGAACAAAAAGGCAACAAGAACTGACAATATTCAATGAAGAATACAACTGTACTCAAATACACAGTTAAAAAAAAAAGTAATACTAACATGCTGTGTTCTTACCCCTATTGTTCCAAAACTTTCTGGCTTTCTTCTCATCTTTTTCTTGCATAGGTGTGTCCATATCCATTTGATCAGGTACCAGAGGGATTTGGGGCTTGGGATGACATTGAAAGGAGTAGGCAGAGTTCCTCCTTCTTCAAAGTAACTCATCCAAAGCTTTGTTCTAGCAAATTTCCATTCTATATCTGCATGGTCCTGAACAGGAGAACATGACAACTGCTAACAGTTCTCTTCATTAATAAAGTGGGAGAATCTGGCTTTGAGTGGTTCTTAGAACATTAATTAAATAATTTAGAAAAACACTGCTAACTCCCAGAGACAGTAATCTAAACATCTCAGATGCTGGCTCATCCTGTAAGGAGTCATAGCTCTCATGTCTCTGTTCATCCTTCCTTCTTCAGTGAAACTGACATCTACAATAATGACATATTGAAGAGGCTGAGTGATGAGTTATGAACTTGAAGATGATTGTGCATCTCATATACTGTAGACTTACATTAGATTCTGGCCAGAAATAGTATGTTATGTCTTACCCAAGGCCTTGCACCTCTGCCTGGTGAAGGCCACCTTCTTAGCTGCTCATAGCTCAGCCTTTGGTGCTGCCAAGAAAGTTCTTACTGGGCATGCTCCCTTGTGAATAGCTCTTGTCCACTTTCAGGCAACAGACATCAACTCCCAGAGAAGTTCCTCTAACAGAGGTAGCATAGAGACTCTCTGACACAGCACTAAACCTATGAGCCTGACATTACCTCAGCCAAATGCCTGGCTAGTGGTTGCCCATAGCCAGATGTTGTCTCCCTCTCATTTTTTTTTTTTTAGTACTCACTCCACTTGATTAACCTCCCGAGAATACTCTGGAACATTTGTGGCAATTAGATATAGGGCAACCAGTCTCTTCCTAAATTAACCATAATCTGATTAAAGCAGAGAATCTGGGAAGTAGGAGGTGGTAGAAACCAGGCATAAATGCATTCAAGAATTCAAAATAGCTCATTGTAACAAATTAATCTTGTAAAACAGAACTCAGTTTTAGAATAGATGAATAGTCTTAGACTATGTATGCTTCATTCTAATATGTCTACATTGCTGTGTGCTGATGAATGCATATGAAGTATGTATGTCCACTCTGCACAGTGGGGGTTTTACTCCAGGCAATGGATAGCTTGGTCTATGACACTAATCACCATACCTCGAAGATGGGAGGCCTTCATGTTATTGAGCGGTAGATTGCACAGATCAGTTAGTTGACAGAAATATAGAGGCTGTATTTCCCCTTACCCCCTTACCCCTTTTGTCTCTTGCTTTATTTCTTCCTTCCCCCTTTCTTTGGAACACACTTACAGATTCTGCCTGAAGAGATGTGTATTTTTTTGCTGCAGTTACAGAGAGGGAGATACAACAGAACTGGCTCAGGGGAACAAAAGACAGTCACTTAGATAACATGTCAGCTAGGAGTAAGTAGCTCCTTGGATTCATTGGTGCTCATGGAATTAAGTTTGTCCTGACATCATTATGTTCTCTTATCGCTACCATTAGCAATCCTTCATGGTTTGGGATTCTGAGAGAGTCTCTAACTTGGTCTATAGTGTTTGGAAAATCTGAGCTGAAAAGTTCTAAGCTGGTGATGACTAAACCCACCTTCTCCTACTCACTTTCAATTCTGACTCAACCTTAAAACTCTCCTGGGAATCCTGCCCTGACTTCCATCACTCTTCAGCAGCCTCCTATTTCCAACCCAAGTCAAGATCCTTTCTTCTGCATTTTCCTAGCATTCTCAAATTTCTCTTTTCTATATTGAAACTGTTGATTTTTTTTTTGTTCCATCTGCATCATTAATGTTTTCTTGAGAGAAGAGAATTTTAAAATTCTTCATGTGCCAAAATCAAGCACATGTAGGCTCATTCTTGGTGCCCAATAAATATGTGATTGACAAAAAAGTTCATGAATGGGAAGAAGGCTTTCCTTGTGGCCTGCATGATTGCTTCTGCCTTGCCACTGTTAAAGTGTTCTTTCTTTACATGTTTTACCCTGTGGCCCTGAGATAGTGGTATTAGGACAAAAAGAGAAATTCTTCAGAGTACATTCTGCTATACTGGGACAGGTTAGTCAAATGCTTGATGCACCCTTGCCCCAAAGAGGTTTCACACACAGGATGTTGAGAGGTACACCTGTCTCAGGTTCTTGGGGTCTGCTCTCCTCACTATAACCTTTGCATTTGGGCTAAATAAAACTAGTTCTAAAAATAATTTTCATCTCTATAATAAAGTTATCTAGAAAAATATGCTCCACAAAGAAGCAATAAGAAAATGTCATACTACTCTTGGATAGTGTTCTCTACTTGATGAAATTGGGATATTTAATGTTTTAACAGGATTAAACTTTTGGCAGCTTCTCTGTATCTAGCTTGATAATTAGATGTTTTCTAATTTGTTTTTGTTGTTGTACTGGGAAATAGAATCTACATTTCGAAAATGTATTGACTGGAGGAAAACAGAACTTAACAAAATATATGGAGACTATTGACAAAATTTTCAGATTGTAAGATGTTTAAGAAAAGCTCTCTATATAATTTACACATTCATATATTTACCTCCAAATCCTTATGCATTATTAATAATTAATTATTATATATTGTGAATCCTTTAGTTTATGAAACAGTAAATAAAAATAATGTTTCTGTTTTATGCATCATTTTAAAAAATCAGTGTCAGGTGTCTTATAGGAAAAATTTGCTTCCATAAAGACAGTTTCAGTAAAATTTGGAGTGATGCTTGACAAAAAAAAAATCATGACACTTCAAAGCTTTAACCATAGATTCAAAGATACAATGTAATTACAGTTATTTATGGGAATAATGGACAACCTATAATTATGCTTATAAATGCTACTTCTCTAAGGTATAAATATGAAAGATTTCAGAAATATATTTCATTCCTGTATGAGTTTGTTTTGTGACTGTAGCTATTCATCATAGACATAGATCACTAAGTTCAACTGGATAAAGGGCTTTATCCTTCTCATTCATTGAAGTGTTTCTAGTTTCTAGAACAGTACCTGGCCATAGATGTACTCAAAGAGAACTTGTTAAATCAATGAGTAAATAAATTAAACTAAGTTGTTTGGATTCCAGAGTTTCAAATAAACACATATTGCAGGTTTGCCAACAGATTTCAAGATTACAAGTAAATGGATAAAGATATTGCAAAACCCAATAGGCATTGTATAAACATGAGTTGTTTGTTGTTATAAGTCATTCCTCAACTACTATTCACTATAGTTAATGATTGCCTGAAAAGTTAGATTTAGTCTATTTGTATAATCATGTATAATATGACAAAGCTATATAAATATATGACCACATGTTATATAACACTGCTCAGAAATTTGAAATTACAGTCATTCTTATCTGTCTTACCAATAGCCAATTACAAATTTTATTACTATAATAATTAGATGTAGTATAGCTAGGGAAAAACACATTTGTAGATAAAGTGAATTAAAATAAAGCCAGTCAACTTACAGCAATAAGTTGGTAAGAATTATTCATCATAGCTATTAACATGTTGAGAAGGACAACCAGAGAGATGACATTGTATGTCCCAAACATGGTGGCACCAACAAACTCAGTAAATTCATGCTGTGCTTTGACATTGGTCACATATAAATTGATGAGCCCAAATATTGACCAAAACAAGGACTGAAGTGTCTCAAATAACCTGGAATAAAGATAAAATAACATCAAAGCTATATTAAACCATTAAAGAATAAGGTATAGCAACAGAATTTGGTACTATTATATATATTTGGTTAATTTCAAATACATATCTATAGCAAAACAATTTTTAAGACAATTTTAAAAACTTACTAAAAGTAAAGAAAATTATTTAAACCAAGTTAGTACAAAATTAACTAACTTAATTTTCCTACTGTGTTGAAAGCTATATTTAATTTCCTAAGGCATTGGGGTGTAGAAAAGAACCATATACTGTTTTTGCATGAAAACTGGAAGAAGAATGGCTTTTATTTGCATAAATGGTTGGAGGGGGAACCAAAAGAAGAAAATTTTGTGACATATGGAAATTATACAACATTTACATTTTAATATTCATAAGTAAAATTTTATGAAATATAATCACTCTCATTCCTTTATGTATTGTCTATGGTTTATTTTGTGGTAACCAAAATGGCGGAAGTAGATAGTTGCATCAGAGAAAATATGGCTCACAAAGCCTAAAATATTTATTATCTAGAAAATTTATGAAATATCTATTGTCATATAAAGTTTGTCAACCCTTGTCCTAGGCCACTGAGGAATAGTGAACAAATGATCTATTTTTAAAGCTTAGGCTTTCAAAAAAAAGTCAGTGTTTTTTTTTTTTTTTTTAAACCTGAATTTGCTCTTCATTGTAGGAGAATGAAAAACACTATTCTTTAACAATGAAGGTTTACAATTAAAACTGTATTCACATAAAATGGTGAAGAGTCTCAGAATGCTTAGATAACAAAATTTGGTTTGATTTTTTTTTTTTGTAATTCAAGTCCCATTTTATTTAATACAGTCAATGAATAAACTCTGGTGATTTTATTGAGAGTAAATCTTTCTTAACTTAGTTTGAAAAATGGAATAATTTGAGGAATATCTGAACGCAAATGGATAATTGTTCTTTCAATGAGATTATTATGGTACATTAACATACTCTAACAAAAAGATAGCAGTGCTTTAATACTCTTTGGAAATGACTTTCAATATACTATTTTAAAATTATATTGTGAAAACAAAACCAGAAACCTTCTTATACCAGGCCCGGTGACAGAGGAGAGAAGATTTCAGCCTTAAGGAGTTTAGTATTAGATGGGCATCACATCCTGGGACCAAGCCAATCCTGTGTTCTGGTGGCTCCTAGCCAAGGGTATAGTTCCATGTATACTCTTTCATGCCATAGTAGTCTTTATGTGAGTCTCTGGAGCGTCTCACCTAAGGCTTCAGGGATTAGATCAGCCATGGTCAAGAGACCCAAAGAAGGACAATTTACCTGAAGCCAGTGGCTTACAGATGGAGCTCAGGTGAAAATGATCAGATTTCCTCTCCAGGAAAGTTTATCTTAGAAATATCAAGATAATGAGGTAGTTGACGAAAAAGTGGCTGAGATGACAACATTTATGATGAAGTCAGAGATATTGGAATGAAAAGATGCTGAAAGTTCCAGACAGTACAAATAAAGAGGTAGAGACTTGAGGATGAATAAAATGAGCAATAATTAAACACTGAAGTGGAGACATGTGGAGTAGGTGAATCACGTTACACTGATACATAGTGTAAAAATTCCTTAGCCTGGCTCCCTGTCAACTCCTTCTCTTCCTGAAGCTGGTAGGTCTTTCTCCAACTTCTTCCCTTGCTAAATCAACCCTTTCTCAGAAGAGCAAAAGGCTATAATTCTGTGCATGATTTTTATGACAAAATGCCTCTTACTTGAAATAAGCCATAAATATCTGGTCCATTATAAGTAAGAGAATCTAACAAAATATGTCTGAATTGGCATTTAGGAATGTTTTCCCCCTAAATTTATTATTTTTTTAAAAAGTAATCAATTTTACATTTTAATTGAGCAATTAATTTAGGACATGATACTAAATTTCTAAAACTTATTTATTTGTTCTTTTGTTGCATTTTTATTTTAGTTATATTAATATTGGGGTTTATTTTGACATAATTGTAAAATCATGGAATATAACTTGAAACTTAATTTTTCTAGAGCTGTTAAATGATATAACAGATTATTATAAAGTAACAAATGATCAATTTTAGTCCTACCAAGGAATGTTGTACCCTGTTTGAAGGAGATAATAATAAATTGTTTAAAGAGAACCCAGATATCACTTTAATAATATTGAGGAGAGTTAAATCTAATACATTGACCTATACAAAGTCCACTCAAATTTATTCTTTGAAATTTCCTGAGAAAAAGTAAATTTGTCAAAAACTCATAAGTTCTTTATATTTATTAACCTTCAGGTATCCTTTGGAGTGAATATGAAATAACTATAATCATTCCAAATAGTATGTATTTTAACTATGAATATAAAAAACATAATTCAACTGCAGGAATAGCAGTTTAAGGAAAGTTACAAGTTAAACGGCAAAAATTATGTAATAAATTATATTAAGTGTTTATACATAAATTCATAATATTTGTTTTTTCAACTTTTCCAAGCAGGACAATGATTCGGAATAAAATGGGTTCATATGGTTTAATAGTACTTATTTCCTTCTGTCTAAATAAGAACTACTAGTTCTTAGAGATCATTAGTAACCCCTTTTATAAAATTTGTATTACAACTAGAACTTAAAAATGGGAAATTCAAAGTAAAATTATATTTTGTTATTAACTATCAATTTTATTCTTTCTTTTTATTTTCCTTCTTTCAGTATAATGAATCTCTGGTGAGATTTATTGAATAGTTTCACCTCAGACAAACATTTACTTTTCAGATGAATTTAAGACCCTGGCGTTAAGGTGTTTCTAAATGACTATTTCTTTTATTAGAGGAACTTAAAAAAATAAATCTAGATTAACATTTCAAAGCCATTACTTCCAGAGATGTTTTGATCATTAGTGATTCTCAAATCTATTGAGACCAACCTTGCCCATAAATTTAAGAGTCATTAGTTTCATCACATCTCAGAATGCCTTTATATGACTAATATTTTCCTTGTTCTGTGGGGCGAGAAGGACTGCAATTTCCCAAGACAGTGCCACAACTTAATTGACACAGCACAAAATCTGGTTGAACGCTAAATCGAAGACTAACTTTGTATGGGTTAAGACTCTGCTTTCCTAATACAAAATTTTATCTCTTGCCCTTTGAAGATATTTCTGAATTGCTACATTTCAACATTTGCTTGTTCCCTGGTTAAATATTTACAATAAGAGAAAGACTACAAGAAAAAAGGTAATGTATTCCACAGCCGAGATTTTCCTCTGTCCTGTGAGACTAAAATGATGAGCAAATATAAATTAATACAACACTCATCTGAATATTTTATCTTTATTTTCAACCAAAAAAATGTGATACAGAAACAAGTCAAGTGTGACCCCAATTGGCCAGTTCCAACTATTAGGACTTTGACTCCAACACAGTATTTTTCTTAATGTGTTAATATTTGTCACAAAATCTAGGACTTTCTTTTAGTAAGAAAGTCCCTTAGCAGGGACAATAAGCTTAAGTGTATATAGCATAATTTTAATGACTCAAAAGTTTGTGTTTTCATGACTTGTAGCTCTTCTCATGTTAATGAAAAAACTACCTGGAAGCATTAAAGGATGGGGAGGAAGGAGCCATTTGCTGGGGGGAACATGTACAGAGAGACACAGAAGATACAGATGATAGTCTATGTCCACTAGGGGCTCACAGCCAGTAGGAGATCAAGAAAGGCATCCTGGGAAAGGTCTATTTGATATAGAATTTGAACAAAAGAGTAAAATTTTCCCAAGCTGGAGAGCAATACAAGAGCATTTCTGGGATGAGGAAAGAATATGATGTACTGGGGGATTTATAAACTGGCAAAGTTGAAGAGTAAGGTGTTATTTGGGAATTAAGAAAGGTGAGGCAAGAAAAGGAAATATGGAGCATATCACTGAAGGACCTACTATGTCACCCTAAGGGATGTGGCTTCATGTAGTATGAAACGGGAAACCATACTGATACCCTGCATAGGGGAGCCTCTGGTATGGGTTTAGAAAGGTCATTCAAGAAGCAGGATGGAAGACATAGGAGAAAAGGCAGAACCCAGAGGAAGGGGGACTTGGACTTGGTCATGAGCTTTAGTGCCAAGACACTAAAGAGCAGAATAATCATTTAATAACTGACTACCTGTGGAAGGGATAGAGGAAGAAAAGATCTAATATAAAACACAAATTTTCATTTCAGTTTCTTGATGGAATGTGGTAACACTGACTAAGAAAGGCAGTTGGAGAGAAATTTGGGAGAGACTGGTGAGTTCTTTCAGCTGATGTTTAGTTTTCTTCAGGAGACATGTATGGCAAGGTGGACACAGACAGTCAAAAACACCGTACGGCATGGAAACAGGAATCTGTGCTGATCACATGAATATGGAAGCCACCTGTTAGACTCATTGCGCCAAATCCATAAGCATAGATAAGTTTTCAAATGGACACTCTTAGGAGTATCTGAGGTTAATGTCCTAAGGAAGACTACTATTTGAAGACAATGATTGAAATATAGTTTTGGAGCAAAATGAAAAAAAAACAGAAAAGTGAAATGTAAAGTGGAAAATTGTTAATATAAAAGTAAAAAAAGGACAAGATTTCAAATAAATGGAAATGCTAAATAGGGGCAAATTAAGGAGACTCACTGAGATTGATGTCTACCAGCAATGGTGACAAGAAGACCTTAGAAGATATGCTCTAGAATGGTTTTAGAGGAGTAAAAAAGACAGAAGCCAAATTGCAATTGGAAAGTGAGAGGGAGAAAAGAAGGTATATTCTTAGGGTACCTTGGATGACATGTGGGAGAGAGACAGGAGTTACAGCTAACGCGAAATACAGTGTTCAAAGTTCCAGCATATGTTTATACCCTGACTGGAAGGGGTAGGAACCTTATGAAATAAATGAAAGATAATACCCTCCAACCAATGATAACGAAAAGAAGAAGTGTGGCTACCAGTTTCTATGACATTACATGACACTGTAAATGATGTTTTAGGTTATTGACATGAATTATGTTTTTTAAACCTTATATAGAATAAGATTTCCAAAATTGTGTCTAGTACAAAAACAGCCTGAATTTAATGGTAGATACGAAATTATAAAAGGAAAATTGAAGATCAGCAAAAGTATAGAAACAAGATGCACAGCAGAAACCTTGAGGGTATCACTATGATTGACATCAGTTGTGCTGAAAAATGTCATCAAAGGTCAGGAAACTTAGGCCTAGTGAATTCTGTTAATAATACAGGGAGTTTTAAATATAAATATGTACATACACATACACACGCATATATATAAGTTCATGAATATCTTTGAGAAAAAATAAATTGTTGCTTGGGATGTTATGTTCCATTATCTAAAAAAATAATTTAGATAAAACACTTGATTTATTTGAGGTGAATGATTTGGGCATATAATATTTGAGATATACAATTTACCTGTTATTGTTCATGATAATGGAAGAAAACATTGGTATAGGTAAACTAAAATTATATATAAACTAAACATCCAACAAATTTATTTTTGTATTACAATTTATATTAAATATTTGCATCAGCTTTGTCTAGCCACAACCTTCTTGTATTGATATTATAAATAGTTTGTAATGTGGAGTTATTTACCAAGAAACCAATAATAAGAGCAAGGGGCTTCCTGGGATTTTAGGGTATTATACATCAGAACAGTGCTAGATTTATCATTGTTGTTTGCAGAGGGGGCAAGTAGTTGAGCAGGACTTACTCTTGAAACTAGATCATTTCTCTGAAGTAAAGAGAACTGGGCAGGTAAAACAGTTGTAGGTGTTGGGTGGGAGCTCCTTCTGGTAGAAAAATCAGGTAACCAAAAGGATATGACAACAGATATATATGGGGAGGTCTTGGAAAATAGTTTTGGTTGAGGTACGCAGAACAAAGTAACAAAGAGTTGTGAAAGACGGAACATGCAAAAGTGCTTTCCATGAGAAATCCAGGAGACCAGCCAAATGTATATCCAGAAAGGTTAGAGGTATAATTCTCATTGATGAAGACAGAGGTGGATGGAATCTGACCAATGTAAACCTCTAGTCTTAGTTGTCCTGGACAAATTAGCAAATCAAGGTCCACAAATGAAGGAAGAAAGGTAAGTTCAAACTTGGAAACCAAGATGCCATCCAGGGTTATAAGGAACATCATCCCTCAGGTAACCAAAAGAATACCTGAACAGTCAAAAAAGAGCACGAAAAAGGTGACGACAGTGCTAAATGAGCTGGCTGGGAGGAACTGCTGCTTAAGAGCAGAAGCATCAAGTCAGGGGACAAAGGATGAAGGGACAAGAGGAAGCCTGGATGATTTTGTGCTTTCTTTATGATTCCTGGTTTGCATCAAATCTATTTCTGAAAGGGGCTGAAGTAGCTAAGGCTGAGATTAAAATTTTATGTGCACATAAAACAGATGTTTGTTAATTAAAATGGAGTTTTAAATATCAGGATCAAAAATGAAACAGATGTGGGATTAAACCAATGAGAGCATTTTAGCTATAAGTGGTTTAGTTGATGTGAAACCATTGATTTCCTGATTTCCTCCCAACCGAGAAACTGCTTTCTTCTCTTACAGTAGATAAAGTTATATCATGGCCCATGAATAAGGTCATACTTTTAAGTCATGTTCGAAATACCCATGTTCGCAAGTGAATATCGTGTATTGGAAAAGCATGGAGCTTCTCAATCTGACAATTAACCATCTTTTTATCCAAGTGGGAAGGGAACAGCACAAAAAAGCAGAGGGGTACTCTGTGAAAGCTGTAGGGAGTCAATGTGCTCAGGGGCCTATGCTATCAGCAAACCTGATTGTGAAAATTGCAGGAGATTGACATGTGAATAATAATGATTAGGTTTATCTGGGTTTTCCACATTGCATTCGATGCTTGATCTTTTGTTTGGGAACTAGAAAACAAAAGGACTTCAGTACATGGGAAACATGAGGAAACATAAAAACTCTTGGATTTTCTATTATGATTGATTTTACATATATTCTACATTTAATGTACTTGCAATCTGTCAATAACATTCTTTAATTATCCCACATTTTAAAGCAGTATATATAACTTTCCTTTACATGAGGTCATTTAAAAGAAAAGATGATTTGCTAAATCTTAAAATAAATGTACCAGGTATTATTTTTTTTAATTTTAATGTCAGAAGGATTCATTCCAGTTCAAAGCCATGTTAATTCTGTTTTCTGCTTTATGCATAATTTTCATTCTCCAATTTTTGCAACAATTTGTCATGGATTTTCCAATACTCTAGATTTGCTCCCATGTTACCAATGGAAACAGCTATCCAACTTACGTTGAAAATGCATTATTCTGCTTTTCACATCGTATGCCTTTGCAGCTTAATCCTTTGGTTTCTTCATAATAGAAGTACAATTGATTTAAGCCATTTGCAAATGCTAGCAGCACAAGGCAGTATATGAATAGAAACTTCAAAATGTCCAGGAGCATTCTTCCCAGAGATATTTGTAGAGGTCCCAGGTGAGAATTTGCAGTAAAAAGTGAGATCAGACGCAGGGAACTGAAGATGTTTGCAATAGCAAATAAAGCCTCAGCAACCAGAGTGGGATGCCACATGTCCCATGATTCTCGTGGGTTAAGAGCACTGTACTGGAGAAAACAGAGAAATACGGAGATGTAAAATAAACACATGCTTACGAATACATCAGATTCAGACCTGGGATGTTTTTTAGGTGACCCAGCACAAATGGCTTATTGTCTGGAAGCTGATGTCCTCTATGACCATCAACACAAAAATAACAGTTTATTAATTTATAAGTTTTAACCAAAGTGCCTTCTAAGTCTGTCCTTGTTATTTGTGATTATTGTCAATACGTTAATTTTAGCTGTCTTTGAATTTTCCCATGGAACTTTAAGAAAAGAAAAGAAAGAAGGTAGGGGAAATCAGATTTCGTATTGGAAAACAGCAATATCAAGATAGCAAAGCAAACTACATTATTTTTTTAAAAAGTTAACTTTTGTACAAAATAATCAATGACCTTACTTGTAATATTTGAAATAGCTGCCAATTCTAGAGGAATACATGTGGATGCAAATTATATATGAATGAATGACTGTAGTAGTCCTCTATTGCTTTGGAAACAGTAATGTCTAATAGGGGATAAATATCAGTGCTTTGTGCCTGAAATATCTTAAATGGAAATACAACCTAAGTTAAAATTCTATTGGTGGTTATTGAATTGCCATTTAAAAATATTTAATATATAGGAAATTCTGAACTTAGATTAGCTAATTAGATAAAATGTGTGATTTGAGGAAAATACTTGCCAATTTAAAATTTATTTAATTTATTTTATTTTGGGGGGTATTAGGGGTTGAACTCGGGCACTCTACCACTGAGCCATATCCCCAGCCCTATTTTGTATTTAATTTAGAGACAGGGTCTCACTGAGTTGGTTATTGCCTTGCTTTTGCTGATGCTGATTTTGAACTCGCATTCCTCCTCTCTCAGCCTCCCCAGCTGCTGGGATAACAGGTGTGTGCCACTGGGCCCATCTTGCCAATTTAAAATTTGCCCAGAAAATTTTCTAAAAACATAAGGCAATTGATTAAAATGCCAGTTTTGAATGATTGTGGATATTAAACCATATAAAAAGCACAACAAAATTCATCCCCTGTATTATTGAGATAAAGGTGTATCCTTTAAAAGAGCCAAATATGCTTTTGAAATATTGAGATATGAAACTATAATTAAATTGGTATTAAAACTGAAAAATTAAATTCTCTTTTTCATAAACATCATTAAAACAGTATAAGAAGTTCTATTTCTCTGTAAGTTCCATCAGAATATTCTCATAATGAATCCACCTGAAAGATCTTGACATTTATTAATCAATTAATTCACCTTGAATCTAATAGATAGTATTTTTTTTTTTAATTCTCCCTAGGCCAGAGGACACATCTCAAGATCTTGATGTTATTCAATTCTTGGGCTTTTGCTGGACTGACAATTTAAGACAATTAAGTTTGAACTAGAAGAAAATTATTTTCTACTTTTAAATCCTGATAAATGGTCTTGAATATCCCCATGCATGCCTTCGGCCTAAAATAGCTAATGATAGAGATGCAAAAAAAAAAAACAAAAACAGTTAAGATGTTCATCTTATAAATCGAACATATACTAGGGTGTGAGCTCAGGGTACCAAACACTACCTAATTCTTTCTACTTAGCTCCCCTCTAAATGATGTATGCTATCTTTTCATTCAAATACAGGGATTGGTCACATTTTCCTTTCTTTCTTCACTTCTCTCTTGAAAGACATAAACATTTAAGTAGAGAACAATTCCCACTATGTCAATGGTTCATTCTGTTTTTTGTTAAACCTTTTAATATAGCTTAGGACTATATCTCAACAGAAACAAATGAAACAGGAAATATCCTTAAGGATGCATTCATTTTCTTTGAATTTCTCACAACATTTAATGCAATATGCTTCATACGCATTTTATCCCATCAAGTATTTATAGATCAGTGATGTGGACAGGTACAACTGATTATAATAAAAATTCTCTAAATATCAGCACAAAGCATCCTAGGAGAAGAGAAAGTGATTAAGGGGCTTAGGAAGCTAGGAATGGATACTGTATGTGTGTGTGTGTGTG